ATGTCACCGTCCCCATGGGGCTGGCACCTTGCCCAGGGCGAGGATGCCACTCTCCTGGGGAGGATGCCACCCTTCCGAAGGGGATGGCACCATCCTGGGGGGATGGCACCTACCCTGGAGTGAGGATGTCACTTTCCCCAGTGGAATGTCACCTTCGCCAGGGGGCTGGCACCATCCTCGGGGTGAGGATGTCACCAACCTGGGTGGGGATGTCACCCTCCCCAAGGGTCTGGCACTATCCTGGGGGAGGTGCCACTGTCCCCAGGCTGAGGACATCCCTGTTCCCAGTTGGGAGTGTGCCCATGGCTGTGCCAGGGGGACTCAGCAGAGCTGGAAGTAGAAGTCGAGCAGGTGGGTGGCATCGTGGCTGCGGGACAGCGCCAGGGGCTGGTGGCCCCGGGCAGAGGTGCAGAGGAACCAGCCGGGGTTGGCAGCGGACTCGAAGCGCCACAGCCCGTCCTTGTAGGAGCGGAAGAAGGTGAAGGCGGCTGAGGCCTCCCCGGTGTGGGGCAGCTCCCGGATGTCCACGGCCTGTGGGGGCAGAGGGGTCACCCACGGCCTGGGGGGCAGCACGGCAGGGCTGGCACCCACGGCCAGCAGGGGACACGGGCACTGTGCCACCGGGGGCTGCGGTGGCATCGTCCCCACAATGTCCCATCCCCATAGTCCCTGTGTCCCCACCCCATACTGTGCCATCCCTGAGGTCCCTGGGTCCCCATCCCTGCAGTCCCCATGTCTCCACCCTTGTGGTGTCCCCATCCCCATGGCATCCCCTTGGCATCCCTGTCCCACAGTGTCCCCATCCCATGGTGTCGCCATCCCTTTGGTGTCCCCTCAGTGTCCCCACGCCCCTGTCCCCGTGTCTGTCCCACCTGCAGCTGCAGTGCCGGGGTGGTGCTGGTTTTGGGGTGGCTGGCGAGGCAGCGGGTGCCGTTGCGGATGCCCAGGATGACGGGGAGCCGGGTGGGCTCGAAGGCGCGGTTGGGCACCCAGAACACCTTCTCTGGGGGGTCACACACCCGGGGGGCCATCAGGATTAGGGTCAGGGTCCCTCACCACCCCCACGTCCCCCCCGTGCCCCCTCATCACCTTCCAGGGCGGCGTTGGCCCCTTGCAGGTGCCCGGCCAGCAGTTGGTCATCCCGCAGGTACAGAGACTTCTGGTTCACATCCCAGAGCCTGGGGGGGCACAGACAGCGGTGTCACCCTCTGCCACCCCTCAGGAGCCCCTAGGGGTGCCCCCTGCCCTCCTTACCGGTACTGGAACACCTTGGTCTGCAGGGTGGGTGCCTGGCAGGGGGAGAAGCCTTCAGCCTCTGTGCAGAGGAGGAGGAAGAGGGAGAGGGTGAGGGCGCTGACCATGGTGCCCCGGAGCCGCCCTGGCACCCTCTGGCACCCCAACACCGGCCCAGCACCCCCGCCCTTATAACCCCCTCGAAATGCCAGTCCTGCGGGGGTGGGGGGCTCCCAGTGGCGTAACAACCACCACGGTTCCGCTTCCCCTCCCGGCCCGCCGAGCCCTGCCGGGGGTCCCCGCTCTCACCCGCGGGACCCCCCACCCTACTCATGCTGCGGGACCGCGAGAGGGAGGAAGGAAGGAAGGAGGGTGGCGGTGGTGTTGCCACACTGCTGGGGAGAGAGGCGGGGCCCGCCCCTGCCCAGGGCCCGGCACCTCGGGGGGGTGACACCCGAAGTGAAACATCGAGGGGGGCGACACGGGGACATGACAAAGGGTCAGTGCGACCCCCGACTGGCCGCAGCGGGTCTCGAACCCACAGTCTCCCTAGCGAGGGAGCGGCGCCCTCCCTGTTGCGCCACCGCGAGGGGGCGTCGTACGCATGCGCAGTTAGGAAGGCGGGAGGCCCACAGGAGTGGCGTGGGCAGCGCTGAGTGGCTCGGTGTGGGTAGCGCATGCGCAGAGAGCGATGTGAAGCCTCCGTGCACGGG